CCCCCCCCCCCCCCCCCCCCCCCCCCCCCCCGCCCCACATTCTCCTAGCTCCTGACCTGCAATGGCCTCATAGAGGCCCCCCTGGCGTCCAGCGCCTTCCTCCTCCTCCTCTTCCGCCCCCTGCTGCTGCTCAGGCCCCTCGCAGCCAGCTCGGCAGCTCTCTATCTCGGCCAGGCTCCCCTGCAGGGCCTCCTCCAGCTTGGGCAGTGCCAGTCCTGCCTCCTGGCGTCCCAGGAGCTCCAGGCTGGTGTCATAGGCTGCCTGTTGAGGAGGGAACAATGAGTCACCTGAGACCCTTGGGGCGGCGGGGGTGGGGTGGGGGTGGAAAAGAGAAGGTATCATTTGGGGCACGAACTCCATGTCCCACTTGACCTTGGGGAAGAACAGGGGTGGGCCTCAGAATCAGAATGTTAGAGCATTAGACTTTAGTGACCGTCTAGGAAGGAAACTAAGTCCTAGGGAAGGACTCCCCATGCAGGATCACTGAGGACCAGTACCCAGACCTCCTGATACCCAGCCTTGCACAGGGCCACAGTCCAGTGAGGTCTGTGCATCCAGCCAGTCAAAGGCTGGGGACAAGACAGGGATGGTGCTGAGGGTCTCACCCAGTGTGGGGGCGTCTCCAGGTCCCGGAAGCTCTGGAGCCGAACCCCACGCATTCGTCTGTACTTAGCCATGTCCTCCCGCATCTGCAGGTGTGTTGGGTTTGCAACAAAGAAGGTGTGCGCTGCGGCTGCTGCCAGGTCCACCTTCTTCAACTGAGGTGCGCAGGAATGAGCGAATCAAAGCCCCGAGGCGGGGTGTCAGACCTCTGCCCCTCACCAGCCTGCCCACCCCAGACACACACTCTGGGACTGCCGGGAGCCTTATGGACCGGTCAGTCTGCTCTCCTCTCAACCTTCAGACCTCTAGAAACCAGAATGGTGGGACTCTCAGGAGTCTGGCACCCAAGGGAAGGGGGTCTGAAGACTTCAGAGTGGGTGGGACATGGACAAAGGGCCTCAGTTTGGGAGACAAAATAAAAATGACGGCTAAGCGACGTGGGGAAGTAGGGGAGACCTGTGGGACCCGCCAAACCCGCAAGTCTCTAGGACCCTGAGCTGAGGTGTGTGTAACCAGGGACTCCCCCCATCCCCAGCCACGTCGGCAGGAGCTACCGCCTCCGCAGCTGCGCAGTGCCCGCGGCCGCAGGGGCTCCCGGCCTTCCTCCTCCTCTCGCCGTCCCGAAGCACCCCTCCCGCTCCCCCCACTTCCCGTCCTTCGGCCCCCAGCCCCTGCGGCACTCCTGGGAAGAGACCTACTGAAATGAAGGTGCAGGCCCTTCCCTCCGCCTTCGAGCTCCTCCCAGCCGCCCGAGGCCCTCCCCGCCCCCCGCCCCGTTTGCCCGCAGCCTCGCTGGGCTGTCCGTCCGCGGCCTCCGCAGGTCCTCGCCGGGCTCTGGTCGGATCTACTCAAGTGCAGCGGCCAGTGCTACGCCCCCTGCAGACCCACCCCAAGCCCGGGCGCTAGTATTCCGCCCCCTCCCGGCCAGCTCGAAGCAGGACAGCAGCTCGGGTAGAGTAGGAGGCTGGCAGCGGCGCGGCCCGCGCCCGCACCTGGTAGTAGGCCCGCTGCAGGTAGTTGTAGGGCTCCCGACGGCGGAAGGCGTCTCTCAGCGCGCTCCCCACGCGCAGCCGCGCCGCGCCCCCGGGGCCCAGCCA